CTTGTTTTTAATTTTCCATTTTCTTGGCATTTTCAAAAGGTTTACCGCCCGCTATGTAAACAATAATATAACAATAAATCCTTTTTTAGCTTGTTTTTACACGCGTCTCTGCGGTGTTTTTATGTGTGTCCCATTAAACCCGCTTCCACACCCGCACCCGCACTCGCCCCTCCCGTCGACTGTCCCCAAATGTCGCATTGGCTGGTCGCGTGCTGCGCGGTCTAAACTCAATTATCCAGCGACACGAGAACGTGAAAGTTCAGAGGTTACCGTGCCAAAGCAGCCTTGTAAAAGTACAAAAATGTTCATTACAGGAAATTTAATTTAATGTAATTGCACCGCGGGGGGAAGTAACTGGCCAGGTAGAAGCCAGGTGCCTAGGCAAATGGTGTAAATGTCAAATGACGGAAATAGTCATAAGGTTGCCCTGAAATGCGTTGCTTGATTATCTTTAAGCGGATGCTTCTGCTTTGGGATGTTATCTAGTTGGGCAAAGAATTAGATACATACAAAGATTAGATGCATGCAGTTGTTCCTTGAAATCTTATAAAATACACTCGAAGTGCGCCTAAAACTATGCAACGCAAGTTACCAAATCCTAGATAAATAATCCTGTCAGCTTTGAGCCCACAACAGTCAACACCAGCGGCGTCAGGGCCCAGGAGAGAGAAGCGAACTCTCGCACCAGCTGGGGAACTGAGAAACTGCGGAACTGAGAAACTGCGGAACTGGGAAACTCGCTCAGTTCTCAGCAACCGCTCAACTTCTAAGTCTCAAAACATTCTGTGGAGTAAGCTGAGGGAAAAGTTTTCTTTGAGTTTGCATGGCCAGAGTTTTGCTTACATTTTACCGAGTTGCCGAGTTGCTTAGAACAAAAGTCTCAAATTTGGTTTTGCTTGGCAGTGTTTGAGGGTGGGCCAAAGAAAAATACAAAGTAAGTATTATTTAATATGTATTAACACAATATATAGCATGCACACACATGCACGGGATGTATAGGAAATAAATTAGAAAAGTTGTGGTTCCCTTCTTTTTTTATGATGGGCAATAAGACTTGGGGGCTACAAACGCCCGCAAGTGCTGACAAAACTTTGCCAGCACACCAGGAATTTTCTATAGAAAATTTATGAATATTTTCGTATAACCAACTCTCGCTCTCACTTGTGTTTTCCCCAACGGCGATTGTGTACATTCAATTAAAAGTTGCTAAGGCAACATTTGCTTAGCATTTAGCATCAATTTATATATTTTTTTTATTGCTCTTCTTGAGTGCGATATCGAGAGGAATCAAAGTTTATGCAGGCGTCAAGAACATTAGCCCAAAAAAAATAAGAAAAATTATAAAATAAATAAAAACAAATATCGCAAAAAAAAAAACAATATTTACCCTATATTCCCCGCACTGCGGTTAGCGATTTTCACATGCTGCATTCGTAATGAGAGTTTCCATTAAAACGGAAAAGGAAAAACAAAAAAGGTTTAGGTTTCAATTGCCAAGTGCTGCACGAATCTGTTAAGTCTCCGGGCCAAGTGCTTTTTTTCGGTTATTTGTTCGACTGATTGATAGACAAACACGATTTGGGGTTTGGGCTTGGGCTTGTGCTTGGGTTTGGGTTTTAGGTTCCGGCTTTAGGCTTGTTTCTGGCACTTTTTTAATTGAAAGGGTCAGAACGGCGGACAGTTATTGACTTGGGACTCCCTGAGGCGACCACAGTTCTCGGCTTGATTTGGTTTGTGTATTGACTAAAGTTAATCAACCTAACCAGAAACCGCAAAATAAGTAAAAGCTTAAATGAACCGTGCAAGGGATTGCGGCAAAACAATTTAATACCAAATGAGATTGACTAGATAAATTTGTAAAGGTTAATATTATTAGATGAAAGCAAATAGAACTAGCCAGGCATTTAATGCGGATCAAAAAGTGGCTTTAATATAGCTCTAAATGTATTATAAATAATTTAATAAGATATATATTTGAAAACGTTGTATTATTATTATTTTTTAACCATGTTGTACTCAAAAATAGGGAAAACTTAAAGCTAACCTGTTTTATTTAAACCCATTAGGAATGCAATTATTCTAGATACTGCTCGAAAAACAGATCTGATTCCGCTTGTTTCCGTTCGCCATCAATTAAAGTAACTTCCGCTGCACCCTGCACCCCTTTCGCCATGTTTCATCGCGCCTTCCGCTTGCCTCTGCCTCGATGCTTGTCTTGAGCGATGCGCACACAAATTATTAAGAAACATTCTAACAAACTGCAGACAAAGTTGGCAACAAAAGGCACCCGCTTAATTATACACACCATTAATAACTAAAACCAATTTGTATGCGCAACAAGACGCAGCAGCAGCGGCAGCTACTGCTACAGCAACAGTTACTGCCAATGCCACCGCAGTGCACTTTATGTCTCCTCCAGGGAAGTCAGCGACGACTTCAAAGTCGACGTTAACGTCGACGTCGACGGCGACGGCAACTGCAGCTGGAGGCACGCCCCAAAAGCCCACACACGCCCACACATGCAGTGCACATAAATCAACACACAAAGCAACAATAAAAACGGGACAAGCGGAAGCGAAGGCAGCAGCAACAGCAGCAGCAGAGGCAGCGGCAGAGGCAGAACAAAACGCAATTTGTGCAGACAGAGGCTTCCACTGGCGGCAGAGTGGAAGTTAGTGTGAGTTTCTGGCGGGGGAGAGCGGAAGGAAAGCAGCTACAATAACTGCCAAACAACAATAACAAGAAAACGGCGGAGCTGAAGCGCGGGGGAAGGAGCAGCAGCAAAAAGCGCTGTTGCAAATAAGCAATATTGATGACTTTACTGTGCGTTGGGCCGCCAGGTGGCGCTGCTGCTGCCGCTGCTAGAAAGGGCTCCTTGTGCATAACCAAAGACAATGAAGTAAAAACAAAAACAATGCGCCAGTCCAAAAAAGGGCTGGCAAAATGTGCAGCTAACGAGTGAGTGCACACACACGCACGCACACACACACACACACAGACGAAACAAAGCAATGCCATCAGTGGCCGCCGCTCTCTCGCTCGCACTCAATCAGTCGCCCACTTTAAGCAGCTTTTGTTCTGGCATCCCAAAACTACCGCTAGCCACACACCAACGGCATGCAAAAGTTAACGGGCTGCAGCTTTGGATTCAGTTTCGGTTTTGGTTTTGGGGTTTCTTTGGTTTCGGTTCTTTCGGCTTCAGTTTCTTTTTATTGTTTCTTTTTTTTTTGATCATTAAATCGTTTGCCCTCTCGCTCGTTGTGCTGTTTTCTGGCCCTTTACTTGCTCCCAGTTATGTTTTTGGTTGCCTCAAGTGGCAGGAGCTGAGGCTAACTCGAAGGCAGTTGCAATCTCATTACATGACTTGGTTTTCGTGAATTGCGCTGGCGCCGCTTTTCCAGGATTTCCTTTTGCCTTTTTACACTTCTCGCAGCGTGTAATTAGCATTTGGAGAGTCCTTGTTTTTGTTGTTCCTGTTTCTGTTGCTGCTGCTGTTGGTATTGTTTTGTTGCCAGTGCAACTGAGCGAATGTTCATTGTACGCATTTACACGTTGCATTTACTTGCTGTTTGTTTATGCCTCTTTAACTGGTCTTTTGTAACTGAAATGGAGCTCTAATGATTCGCCAATTGACTTAAAGTATTTGCTTAAACTGTGAATCACATTGAAGTTCACAGGAATAGAAGAAAGCGATAATAAAGGAGTTCAAATTCTCTATCCATGTAACATAAAAACTTTTTCCATATCTTTAATTTCTTTGGTACAACGAAAGAATTGGCAAGGAATCCACAGCTTTATCTATCCATAACATTTTCTTCTTCATTAACTTTCTTTTTTCTCTGTCGTTGACCTAACCTCAAATAAACTTACCGCTGACTCTTTATTGAACTTGCACACTTACAGCTTGATTCTGTTCTCTTCGTGAACTCCATTGTCTTGAACTGTTGTTGGAACTATTTCAACTTGAACCCCATTCCAAGCATTTACTTATCTATATACCTATTCATTGCCTATCAAAACGCACTTAACACAATTGCGAGCCAAAAGTTCCTAGCGCAAAACTGCCATAAAAGTAACTAAGTAACTCAACTCTCTCACCTTCCCCACTCTCTAGCAACAGGTGCTCTTCGCTGTCGATAGTTTTGGCCAACAACTTTTTGGCTCATTTGCGTAAAAGTTTAACAGGAGCGAGCAAGAGAGGCAGCATAATTACAAGCAGGAAAGAGAACTTGCTGCTGTCATAATTAGTGAACATTTTAATATTACATAATCTAATGACAAGTCTTTGACAAAGGCTGACAAAAGGCAGGGTAAGCCTTGGATTGGATCAAACACGCCTGAGTGCTTCTATTCATTCAAATATCTCCGAAATTCTGACAGACCCTTGCCCTCACCACATCTCTAAAAGCTACTTAAGTTTATAATGCAGTTTGTCTGGGACGCATTGCACTCAATGGGCTAAGCCTCCTTTCATATCTGTCCTCTGTCTCCGCCCGCATTGATGTGTGCTACAGATAGTGCTATGCTCGCACCAGAGGTTGGTTCCAAAAATACTGCGAGCTTATGTGAAAATGTATCTTATAATATTAGTTGCCGAACATATTCAGATACGAACCAAACAGAATTTGAATGTTTATATTTATATAATTAATATATATATACACAATTAGTCTTGAGAACCCTTCTTTTAAGTATGCAATAAATTTATATTTTAATAATTATCGATTAATATGCGCATGTGAATACAGTATCATGAATTCAATTCTATACTAATTGAATAGAACCTGTATAGTATTTATAGTGAATCAATTGAATCGATATCGCAAATTCACTTTTATCACAAAACTTTAAACTACCCTCGCCAATATTATGAACATGTGTCTGTATGTAGTTGTGCCTGCGCTCAGCCAATTGGCAATGATTAATAATCAAAATGTCAACGCTGTCAGTTATAAAGTCACTTGACAGTTTAATCAACTTGTGTGTGTGTGTGTGTGTGTGTGACAGTGCTGTGTGTGTGTGTGTGCCTTAACTGTCGATGCTTTGAACTGAAATTTGCATGCGGGCTTCGATTACTGCCTCGATAACAGCTTTGAGGGAAGGCAGGTAAGTCAACTTGAAACTCGGGCAAACAAATTAAAACAGTTTTCATTTCTTTCTCTCTCTTTCGTTTATTATTATTATTATTTTAATTCCAAAACACAATCAGCTTCCATTGTTGGATCTGTCTCATAAGCAAGCACAAGGGGCTGTTCCATAGATAGGCAAATTAAAGCCCACTTAGAAGGCAGCAATAAAATCGTTGCCAATAAACTGAAGAATGGGGCTGCTTCTGCGACAGCTGTGCGTAGTTTCGACAGCTATGGAAATAAAAGCAAATACTGGGAAATATCACAGACCTATGCTATATGTGCAGCAGCCAGCCCACCCCAGCAGCATTCTCTCAAGCCGCACGAACAACAACAAGCGCTGGGGCCAAACAAAATAAACAAAAATTATGACAAGCGGCAGCGAAAAAAAAACATACAAAATAAGAATAATAAAAATGCTAAAGAAAAATTGCAGAGACCACAATGGGAACGGAACGGGGGACAACTGTTGGTTGCCGGCATATGTGTGGGCGCCTTGGGGGCCCGAGAAAGGGAGTGGGTAGTGGTGGTATCTGGGAGCAACTAGTAATAAACAGACCCCATATGCGCAAAGGGAGCTTGTAGGAGTATTGGACATAAAAAGGCCAACTAACACGAAGCCCCGACTGGCATCAGGCTTATATCTTGGACGTTTTAAAGACATAAATACGAGGGCCTTATGTGCTGGGGACTATCAGCCACTGACAGCCATATGGCCGCGCCTGACAGATGGGCGGTTGAGTAAAGTGGAACTGCAACTGTTGCGGAAGAATGGAATTCTGTTTAATTGTAGACAAAGTATTAGTTAATATATGCTGATTTGTGCTGTGTATGCAAGGCAAATATCACAATTGGATTAATATTTACCAAGATCAGACAATTGTTTATTTTGTAAACATTTTTCGAGAGTTACAGAAAGATTCGTAGCAAAATACAGCCCCAATTATTTGATTAGAAAAATTTAAAACAGTAGAATGTTTTGTCAAAGCTTCATTTTCGTTAATAAATATATTATTTAACTTGAATATTCAATATACTTAGCACAACTTGTTTGAGCCAGTGGAAGGGCTCTTGTGGAACAAACTGTTATACAAGTTGGCAAGTTGGCATCTTGACATATTCCAAGTGCTGTTATTGCCCCTCTACGCTATAGACTCGAGGTCCATTGACTTTCAAATGACCATCATCGTGCCCTGTTCGCCCTCGTCTTTGTCACATCAAACGACTCCTTGGCACTGCCCCTGTCCCTGCCCCCTTCCCCCTTCCCCAGGGACAAGGCCATTAACAATTTCATTATTCTCTGTTTTCTTTATAAAAGTTCTCTGAGGCGTTTCTTTGGCTACTTCAGTTGAGTGCTCCTCACTCTAGCAAAACTAATCATTTTTAATAACCAATAATTTATTTTTAATCAAACTTTAATGAAAACTTTGACGCAGCGCATAAAAAATTAAGCAAGTAGGCAAAAAGTTCTTCTTGCAAGGAATGGATGATGGGCGGACGGGGCCTTAACTTTTGGGCCAACCATTTTAGCGGCGTTGTCATGCATAAAAATTAGAGTAGTCGTTGGAGGCGTGGCTGAGTTTCAGCTGAGATTTATTGCACAGCAGATTGTGCGAGGAAGATAAGTACAAGCTGGGCATGTATGTGCATATTTACATATATGTATGTGCACATATGTGGAGACACAGACGCTGGACGAAGGTCGTGCAGGAATCAAATCAAACAACCCAACCGACGACACCTCACTCGAATCACTTACTCGAACCACACTAGCCACACTCTGCAATCTCTGTTTGCAGTTTGGTAGCCCCTTTGCCTTAATTAATTTCTCAACCGGCTGCTTGGGCCGGGTCCAAAAGGGTTACAGCTCATTATTTTTGCCGGGTTTCTTCGCTTTTTTCTTGCTCTTCCATACGAACACTTGCAGCCCGGGGAACTGCAATTGCTTTGATTGCCCACAACACGCCGCCAAGAACTGGACAGCAGCAGCAGCCGCCGCAGCAAAAACGGTGGGCGTAGTTTTGGCGGTGGGCAAGGGGGGGTAGCAATTGACAGTGGCGTCCATAGCTGGCAAGTGGCCAAAAAGGGTCACATAGGAATAAGATAGAATGAGAGAGAGAGAGAGAGAGAGAGCGAGAGAGAGAGAGAGAGATAAAGAGAGAGAAAGAGGGATGTGGATCTAAATAGTAGTAAAATAATGTTATCTACACAACATTTTCGAGAAAGCTATTTAGATCCGGAAACTGTTATACAAAAGTAAAGCGTATAACGGTAACTTTTATAAATTCATTGCATTATAAAATATAAACTATCCCAAAGAAATTGTATGATTTTGGATTTAGCTTTACTGTTATATTTGCTTTTATAAATAACGTTTAGATATCTATTCCCACTGTTATATGCTGTTATACTTATAAGTGTTGCTAATTCATTGAATTTTACAAAACCTCCACCCCATTCCACTCTATTTTTGCTTTAATATGAGCCTTTATAATTAACTTTTATAAATAATTTATAGGATATTTCTACTGTTATACATGCTTACACATTTAACTCTTATACTTTTTTCCTTTTCCCAATTATTTGAGTAGTAGCTGCCCCCCTTTGGACTACTCCACTGTCTCGCTATCAACCACTTTTACCCATGTTTGGTCAGACTTTTTGCGCCTCTCAGCTGTCCAAGCCATTGCCCGTTTAGTTGCTTGTTCAGTCTTCCGTCTTCAGCCATTGTCTCTGTCTCTTTCTCTGTCTTCGTCTGACTGCTCTGTCTTTGCAGTCGTTGGCTGTTCGCCTTCGCCTTGGCATCTGAAAAATGTCGCTGGTTAACTTGCTTTAAGTATAGTTTGCTTTGGCTTTGATTGTCCACTTGGCGGACAGCCGCCCACTGGGGTTACAGCAGTTGCAGCAGCACCTCCTGCTGACCACAAGATGATGATGACAATTATTGCTACTGCTTGGAAACTGCCCTTTACCGCATTGCCCCTTCCGGACCCCTCGATTGTAAGCTTTTACCTCAGCTTCTTGTCGTATTGTTATCGGGACGGCTTTTGCTCGCGTCTGGAGTCACTTTTCCTCTTCTGGATGACTGTCTGAAGTTTTTTATGAGTTTTCATTTGCACGAGACGACGATGACAGGCAACCGCAGACCAACTGCCACTTACACATTACCAGCACCAGCACCAGCAGCAGCAGCACTGCAACAGCTATTACTACTATTATTATCATTCTTATTATTATTATTTTAAGCAACGTGCAACAATGGCGCGACAATTATTCTGTGGACTCTGGACTGGGCGAATGACTTTGTGGTTAGTTGTCTCCGGTCTCCGATCTCCGGTCTGGTGTGTCTTTTATCCCCAGCCTAACTCCTGTCTGCGTGCCATTTCGTTTTCGCCAGCGAATGCAGCTCATCAACTTGGCGAAACGTGACAAGCAATTAATTAAAAAATTAAAGCGAGGGGGGAGAGGGACTGAGCGAGGGTGCAGCTAAAAGCATTTGATTGACAGGCCTGGAAATAAAACAACCCGACAACTCGTTTAATGTTAGCCCCTAAAACAGATCCCAGCTCAATCCTAATGCCAATGTTCATGTTCATTGGTGGTTTATGGCCAACTACTATACAACTACTGGCCACAAAATTTGTGTGGCCATAAAACTAGCGTTGCCAATGATAATAATTGGCCAATGATGCACATGGGAAAAGGCCAAACGGCCAATTGGCCAGTTGCTTTTGTTGCTGTTGTTGCCGTTGTTGCCATTAGGCGGCTATTAGGCCATAACCATATATGTGAGACGCTCATCTATCGATCATAAAAACCCAGCCACAGTCGCAGTGAGGGACACTCGGAGACTCAGCGTCACAGCCAGCTCGATTGCCAGCTGTTGCCATATGACAGATGACATTTCAAGTGCCCAACTGAACATTGTCGTTGCTGTAACTAATTTTTGCGGAAAGATAAAAACAAAACATGGCTAACAGCGCGCAAAAGTTTGTTGGCCAAAACGCACTTAACATTCACCCATGGCACCCCCCATGTACAGATTTTTATGTACTACTGTGGGAGCAGCTTGACAGCTCCATGGAAACGCGCCGAGCTATCGGTCGGCTCATTACCAGGCGAGCAAATGAAGTAAGCATATGCAGAAAGATGAAAGATGAAAGAGGTGACTATATGGATAAACGACAAGAACACAGAACCCTAGACAATGCTAGACCAAAAACAAATTCCAATGAAATGTGACAAGACGAGGAGACACAAGACCTGCAGTAAGGCGAGATGGGAGCAGCGGGCAAGCGAAGGCTAGCTTGTTTGGGCATATACAACGCAAAGGCCATGGAAAAGGCTGCTGGACGTGAGCCTGGAACTGGCTAAGTGAGCGCTGAGCCACGGCACGAGTGTAACAAACAGCCATAATGGATGCATATACAACATGGCAACAACTGCAACAACAACAACAACAGCAACAAAGAAACGTTGACAACATGGCTCAAATGTCAGGCAATGGTCAACGGCTGTTCACAACGCAGTTGTTGTTGCTGCTGCTGTTCTCCTTCATCTATTGTTGCCTTGGCTATTGGCTTTTCCCATACACATGTGTGCCTGTGTGTGTGAGTGTGTGTTTGACTCGATGTTGTCGCTGCTTGTATTTTACATGTGTGCCCCCAGTCCTCGTCCACATCCTGCCTCTCCGCCCAGTCACAGCTGGGATTCCGGCTTGCTTCGTTTCCGCCTGCCAAACGTAACATTTTGGGAAAATCTTGTTTGCTGCAAACTCCCACTGCTACTGCTCCTGCTACTGCTACTACTGCTGCTGATGTGTGCAAGAAATGTGCAGCATCCAGCATGCCAGGTAGGACAATAAGTTGCCATACAAGGGCATTTAGACATCGGGTTGACGAAATTTGCATGATTGGCTGGCTAGTGAGGCATGCTAAAAAATGCATGTCCTGGGTCATAAGTCATACTGTGCACTTGGATTGAGGACTTATGCAGAGATATCGCCCTTAGAATTGTTGACTTTGAGATGCGATGAAAACTTTAACAACTAACTAGTGTGCAAATTTCAATTGTGATATGGAAACATATCGTATAAAAATATAAAAATGTGTATAACAGTATAGGAGACTTTTTTTTGAATATTAATTAAAATATAACAGTTTGTATAAGAGGTGGAAATGGCTTGATGACCTTAAAAGATATATAAAAGTGTGTAAAACAGTCTAAACTGCCTTTCTTCTATAATGGACTCAAAAGATCTGGTCAAGAATTTGACAGTTAAAAAGATTTCGAATTGGAATATATACATGTATATAGCAGTTTTTATATCAGTCTGACATTAAAGGAAAGCTTCAAAAAAAATATAAATGTGTGTATTACACCATTTGTAGATTTGACCTTATAATTGATTTAGGCATCTGATGTGCAATT